CACAAAGTTCAGACACACTAGATGACCTCGAGCTGCTTTTAACGGTCCAGCTGTGTGTTGGGGAATACAAAACATTTGGGTGGAGGGGACTGAGAACACAGGCAGGAGCAAATGAAAAACCAGATTAGTTTAATTTAGGATTAAAAGGTTTAAATACTGATTTAAATTTATCAAACCCAATCCACTCGTCAGTTTTTAAAACCTATCCATGCCACTTATTTGGGGAATAAATTACATCTCAGAAAACAGACTAATGTTCTTTAAAAAGAAAAGGGTATTTAAGGAATTGTCCAAAATCATCAGATCGAGATCAGAGTCGACTCCATGAAGCTGTTTTTAAAGAATAAGAATCTTATTTTTCTTGTCAACAAATCCCACGAACAAAGCTAAAAATCTTATTCCTCTGTGCCGTTGAGCTCCATTGTTCTCCGAAAACAATTAAAGACACATCAATAACACCGGACAGGATGGTCATGGGGAGGACCTCAAGGCACATCCTGGGGACGCGTCCGGTTTGAGGACCTCAGAATGTGGTTCTGTTGGCTTCATCAGACCAAGAGTTCAAAAGTACTTTTTTTTTTTTTATTTAGTAGTGTTTGCTAAAAACTAAAGTATCAGCTGTTTTTGTTCATTACTGGGCCATTATTTAAGAATAAAATATTGTAAATATTAGGTGCTTAACAATTAGACAAGAATATCTGCAGCCTTATTCTTTAAAATGTTGCTCTGTGACTTTTCCAAAACCTGACTTATGTACAAACCAATCATTTGACAAACTCTCACACTCACACAGGGACATCCTAGTAGACGTAGAAATGCGTAAACGCCTTCTGTTGGTCCAATAAAATCCATTGTCCTTTCTTGTGTAAATGCATCAAAACACTGTCATCAATTCCAACTCTTATTAATTCAGAAGGAAAATTGTTTTTTAAAATCTACTTTAAATCTACATATATTTCTGAAGGGTTGCTTGCTGCATCTCGCTGGCATAGATTCTAACAAAGACCTTCACTTGAGCAAAAACATTTAAAAAATGGTGCTTTACCTCACTGCCATCCTCCTCTTTAAGTTTGTACTTGTGAACCACAGAGAATACATTTATAATGGAGTGTGCCCACTCATGAAGACGCCACTAATAATGACTAAAACAAAACAAAACAGAGGCTTCGAGACATTACGATGACAAAACAGAAAAAGATCCAAGTAACATTTCCTCATATAGTGTAAAGCTTTTGATAAATTATTCAACTAAATGTTTAAAAAAAGAAGCAATCTAGAGAAATGCAGTGAACTGCGAGGATTAAATGTACATTTATATATATTACTGCATACAAAAGAGAGCATGTGAACTTAAGGTGTGTCCGGGCTGGTTTGGTCTGCGAGAGCATAAGGTTCGCTGTGAGAAAGCATCTGTTGCAACAGCAGCCAGGCGGGCTGACGATGTTTAATGAACACTGTTTAATCTAATTACTCCCGTATGAGTCAGCTCCATACCCAGGAGGCCGAGCTGCAGGCTACGTGCCAGAAAAAGGCTCCCAACAGCAGCTTAATGCACATACAAAAAGGGTCTGTGGGAGTTCACTGGAACATGGTTTTGTGTTTTCAAAAAGCAGTGACACACAGGACAAACTTCTTCGCAGCAGAGCCCCAAAGAGTTGCATCAGCTTTGTTGCTTTAATCACATGTGAGCAACGTGTTGCAGGGCAACTATCGAGGCATTTCACCCTTTAGTTTACGTTCGCACTGCGAGCAACCAGCAACCACTAAGTCTAAGAGGAAAACTGAAAGAACAAGGACAGTCAGCTGATTAAAAATCTTGTCGGCCAAGAACCGTTGGCATCGGCTTAACGTTTTCATGATCGTCAGCTGTCAACCTCCAATCAGATACAAAGCTTCCCTCTTTCCCTGCTGAGTATTTTTAATTCATGAGCAAGTTGGCGAGTGTGAAAAAGAATAAAGCCAAACAAATGTTCCACTTCTTGATCAAACATCTCACCTCCAGGTCCACCAAGTAGCTGTTCTGGAGCTTTCCATCATATCACATGACCCTAACCAGCAGCTGTCATGCAAACTTAGTTTTTCAAATTTCTTCTACTTTATATTTCTAGTAAATTTCTTTTCACTTCTAGTACTTTAAATACTTCTCTTGAATGTTAATTCTTGACCTTGTGAACAGTCGCTGACAATAAAAACTCTCACAAAAAAATGTCCATTTAGTAACTGCTAAATTTAAAAATGTACAAATTTCAGTCTTAATTGTTTGATATAATGATAATATATTGTTAGTGAGATGTATCTAACATTAAATATAAGATTAAACCACACTTTTAACTAATATATTGAACTTTGAGTGGCGAAAACAAACCTTCACAAAACATAACTTTCCCCAATTATCATACAAGTGTGGATGTTTTTTCTAACTGCTTCTCATCCATTTTGGCCTAAAAGTTAAGTTTCATTCTTCGTTAATGAAATTGTCTGAATTCCTATCGTTAAACCTGTATAAACTGACCATTTGGAGGCAGCATAACAAGTAGTAAATTCAACACTGACATATTATCACCTTAAAACCAAGTTACTTTTCATAGTGTACGGTGGATTTATCAGAGCTTTTTTTGCTGATAAACAGCTGCTGGAAACGACGCTGGTGAGAGTGACCAAAACAGTAAAGTTTGCTGGAAAACCAAAACAATGAGCTGAAAGATGCTAAAATGGGGAACTGCAGAGCCAGGTGATAATTCGCTGTGTGTGACTCCTTTTTATGTGCACACCATTTGATCCCTTGTTAACATAAAGACATTAATTATGCTCATTTTCACGAACACTGGGCAAACTCTTTCTGCCGATAAAGATCATGTGATATGACTGAAAGCTCAGGAGCAGCTGCGAAATGAGGGTTTATTTCCAACGCCAAGAAGGAGCTTTGAAATCCTAAATCTTCTGCAGAAATTATCTCAAAAATCTTCAAGACGGGTTTAATCACTTTTAGAGGTCAGCAGGAAGCTGCGGAATAATTTAATCAGCTAACTTGAACTTGCTTGTGAGAGCAAAAGATCGGCCCCACCAGCGTGGCTGTTTGCAGTTGTTAAAGCACAACGTGACTCATTTTATGGCCTGCTGCAAGGAGTGTTGTCAGGCTGTGTTTACCACACATTACTGACCAGAACATCACCACCTATAAGTCTTTTATCAGGGAATAACTACTGATTTGAAAAAGCCTAAATTTCTGACAAGTAGTGCAAGTTCCTTGTGGCGATAACGGCCAAGGTGCTCTCCATAAACACATTCAATGCTTTAGCGTTGATACGTATCAAAACAAATTAGCAGCTGCTTGCTGCTTATTCAGTCGCTGCACTACAAGGCTGCTTTTACACGAACCGGTTCAAATGAAAGGGTGAAAATAAAGGCACAGAAATTTGGACTCCTCTTCCAGTCCTTTCCCTCCCTCCCACCGTCTCGAGCAGCAGCAGCTCTGAGAAGTTTCTAGAAGGCTCTGTCGACTGCGATCACCATCAATACTCTCTACCGCACAGGACCCGACTGTCGTCCCTGTGAGCTTCAGCCTTGATGTGTCAATCCGCTGGATATCACCGCCTCAACCTCCCTTCCTCTTCCCCTCTCCCCATGGGCCTCTCACAGTCGCACTTCTCCGTCAGTAGAAAGCAGTGGGTGGAAACAAAAACCTAAAAGCAGCGGCAACAGCACAAAAAATTTGCCTCCTCTCCCTCTATCTCTGAATTCAAACCAGATCCATTTATAGCCTGGTGCGATCATACAAAGTCACAACAAAATAAAAAAATTGAAGCATATTACAGACCAACAGCTACACGAGCAGCGAGGGGAAAGGTACTTTAATCTTTTCAAACATCCTGCTCATAGCTGGCAGGCTGCCTCACAAGATAACATCTCAACACAAACTTATTTTTTTTTTTTTTAAATCAACGCTTCTGTATCTCAGTTGTAACGAGGCTCGTCTTTTGTCTCGTTTGACCCGGATGCCCACGACAGCTGTGGTGTGCAGAGTTCTGGGGAGTTTGCCACAGCCGTGTGGACTGGAGCGCTACCAGAGACACGGACCAAATGCTGAGGGGATAAACAGGGTCACGCAGGAGTGGAGAGTGACCTTGCATCAACGATGCACACTCCCCGTTCTCTCTCTAATTACGTCTCTGTTTAAACACAGATTTCCTGGCTTTCGATACCAGCTTGATGTTTGTGCACACGCCTCAGCTCTGCCTCTAATGTTTCACCTCTGATGCTGCTCCTAAAATGCCCCCAAATATTGTTCTCAATTGCATAAAAGCACATTTCACTGCAGATTAAATTTAATTCCCCATTTAACATTTGTTCACACCATCTGCTTTGCCAAATGGAATCGCGCCAAATTTGATTTCAATACAAAACTGCAGCAAAATAAAAGAAAAATGCTCCAGTAATTTGACATTATTTGATGCCTTTTGATATTTTAAAGGCCAAAATGGGTACCAACAGGTACCCGATCTGGACCGAGCCCTACTCTCATGGTAGCACCGGACGACTCTCCCTAATTAGGTCACTGAATTTAACACATGCATTGGTTGTCTACAAGTCAGATTAATCAGGCCAAACTGGGAAGCCACTGCTAAGCAATCCATCACACTCGGGTAATTCATCAATATCAAGCGCAGTCTGGAGAAGACGACCACTTTAACAGGCATTATTTAGTGCTTTGGCAGCAGCAGGCTTCGACGACCACACACACACACACACACACACACACACACACACACACACACCAAATACCACAACGACTCACACACAAACACGGGAGAGTTAAAAAGAAAACCTTCAAAAGCACAAAATAAATGTTCAAAGTGTGTTTCACAAAGGGAGTTCTGTGTTGTTGACTTCTCAGCAGGGTCGGCCACAACTACCACCAAGAGACAAAAGAAAAGCGCTGCTGCAGTGCATTCTGGGGATTTGAGTCAATATTTACAGCCCGTGAAATGATAACGTTCCAGTTTTTCTTTTTTTTTCTTTTTTTATTTACACACATTATCATTTCCTTCCTGAAGCGACGTCCCCGCCCGACCAGCAACATGGCTGCCACGCTGTCCACGCTGTCAATACTCCCACTCGTCCGTCTTCATGTCCAGGTAGTTGAGAATGTTCTGGGCAAACTTCACCGCCTGCTTCCGTGCCATCTTGGTCGTCTCGTCTCCCTGCGGGTCCACGGCGTCCAGCGCCAGCAGCTGTTTGGTCAGCAGCTCCTCCAGCATCATGTAGCTCTTGTCGGCCCGCTTGCCATCGAAGCCCAGCACCTGGGCCTGCAGGTCCGACAGGCTCCCCAGGACAAGCCACACGGCCCGGTGCGACGGGTGCTCACTGGGGCCCGGCTGGCGGCAGACCAGGGCCTCGCGGAGGTCCAGGAATGTGATGATGGCTTGGACTTCCACCACGGCGCGGCGGCGGGCCTCTCTGATGCACGGATTCTTGGCCGTGTCCACTTGGTCCAGGTGAGTGAGGAGGCTCTGCAGCTCAGCTTTGGGCCTGAAGCTCAGATCCCCCATCACGCAGTGCCGCAGGACGCCCTCTCGCAGGTGGCAGACGTGAGCTCGCACCGCCTCGATCTCACGGATGGAGTTGTTCTGCGCCAAGTCGTACCTGAAGAAACAAACACTGAATCACTCATTTGAAAAAAATACTCCTGAACATCAACCACAAACTGCAGCTTCAGAAAGACGATCAAACCTGAAATAAGCATCTTTACGAGCTGTAGTAACACAATCAGTTCTAACTGCAAAGTATCGATACTTACAAATTTATTATCAAAAACATTATGTGGATACTTTCCTATATCAATGTCTGGCAAATGACTTCTGTACCAGTGTAAGAAAATTACATGAGATCACACTTTTTATGTCAAAGAACACCTTTTTTTATGACAGTGTGCTCATAATCCTTTAACAGTACCTGAGCAGTTATTGCTTTTTTTTAGGAAAAGTATACAAATCGCTGCCACAGAACCAGAAAAATCATCTTTTTTATTCCACACATGGCAAAACCTGGTGCCTACTATGGGTGGGAGAGAAAATCTATTTTTAGATGCATCGCGATGCGGACGTGGAAGATTCTGACTCGATTAACAAATCGATTATTTAAATGTTAATTGATAACGAAATGTTCACGGAACGCAAAAGGCAGAAGTTGCGGAAGTGTGGTGCCCGGACCGTCTGTGGCGTGCACATAACAGAGAGACTAGTGTTCCCACTGAGTAACCAGCCGACTAAAATGTCACACAATCATCAATATCAATGCGCAAGTAATGAAAAGAACATGACGGTGAAAGTTAGCGATGAAAATTATTAGCTGTAAGTTTCAGTCTGGTACTAAACATGCAGTGCAGGTCCCAGTGTGTCCGTTAATAAAAGTCTGTATGTCATTACTACATCACCTACTTGTCAAGCTGAGGTTAATGAAGTAAATTAGGGAGGCAAACTAGTCTTTTTAAGCTAATTAGGAGATGTTTCTTTTGGATTTTAATGCGCAAATTAAATGCTTAGTAATTACCCAGAAATTACCTCTGAATCGTAATCGAATCGTGACATGCCCAGAGATCCCAACCCCTAGTGCCTACATTACCCACAATGCAACTCAACCTCAGACAATATGGTTCGAGATTCGGGTGTGTATGCTAGTGTTCTGCTAGTAGCATCTAATGTAGCCTGGAGCCTATGTCCTGCAGCAGAGATGAGCAGCAGACAGAGGTCTGGTAAGCTCGCTTCTCTCCACACCAACAGATTCCTTTCATTTTCAAACTTGTAGTCTTCAGCCCAAACCGACACCGAGTCAAGTGACATCGCTTGAGGACATTTTTCAGATTTCACCCAGCTCCCTCCCGAGCCTAAAAAGCTTTTACACAACTATTTGCACATAAGCAGTCATACTTTTCAAATACCTGTAAAGGCAGTGGAGTTCCCATTTAATAAGAAAATCACCGTATGATTTTGTTAACATTTGATAATCAGTATTATTTAATTATCGCTCAAGGTACCTGGATAAGCAAACATTGCTTCTCCAGGTATTATAATTAGCCGTACTTTGTTGCAGTAAAATGCTTTTGAGGCAGGAGGGAAAATGTCTGAAGCGTAGCGCCAGCTGTGCCAAGCTGAGGCGTCTGAAAGTGGTGGAGGCGAAGCAGCTCCATCACACCAGCCAAAGAATCTAAATTAATACCACCAAAATAAAAACACAAGTCAAGTATCATCATCATAAATGTACGGAAAGCTCAGGAGTCCCCCTTAAATGTATTATTTAAAAGGTAGTTATCTTATATAATGTATAAAAAACTCATAATATTCATCATTTAATGTGTGTTTATTCTAGCTGGTTTAATAATTTCAAGCAAATAAACATGAAAATGTGGGATGTCACCCGAAAAAAAAGCATAAACACATTTATTTAACATTTATTTTGAGCACCCAACATATTAAACATGCTTTTTATATTGTAATTGAAGCCCAAAACTAGGCAGCATGAAGAAAAACATGTGAATGAGAGGTCCTTAAATCAGTGCTCGAGTCAGCTGTTCTGCATAATGAAGTGCTTGGTAGGCGTTTTACTGCTTTCAGTGCTTCTCTGGTGATTTGAGTCTAATTCACTCCTCACAGCGCTGTATGATTCAAGCCAAAACTCAGTAACAATCCCCAGTCCCTCCTCCCATCCACCACCCAAGCTACTCGTGCAGTAACATCAGCTCAGGCGCACTTTAAAGTATAGAAAACGTTAAAGCGGTACTTCCTGGTGAGCAAGTTGTATATCTGCACTACAGCGGAAACAATTAGTCAACTGACAGAAAAGTATTTTGATAATCGATTCACCTTTTTAAGTAATTTTATTTAAAGAAAACGTGCCGTTGATTTTTCCCTATTTCCAATTTTATATATACCAAACTGATTACTCGATTGATAGGTAATATAATCAGCAGATCAATCTTGTGCACAACTCCATCCTTTCAGTGACGCCTACCTGCGCGTGTCGTCTCCCTCCCCCTCCAGGTCCAGATGTTTCAGCAGCCCGTTAATCTCCTCCACAACCTGTTTCCGGTAATTTCTGATTGCTGCGTTTCCAGAAACATCCAGCGCGTCCAGCTCCACCTGCATCTCCGTCAGGATTCGTGACAGGTGGGCGCAGCTGTCCCTCCCACTCAGACCCATCAGCAGAGCCACCAGCTGACTGCGCGCCACGCTCACCTTCACCATCACCTGGTTGATGCAGTGCACGGCCTCGTGGGTGTCCCCCGACAGCGGCAGGGAGAGGGTCTGCTGCTGCGTGCGCCCTTCGAACACATCCTGTACGGCGCACAGGCGTGTCAGCGCCCGGTAGCGTGCCTTGCGGAGCGGCACCCTCCCCTCGGTCTTGACTTGGGTGAGCCTCAGCACGAGCTCCTGCAGAGCATCCACCAGCTCGTCGTTGATTTCGGCCACCCCGCCGCCACGTTGAGGTGCCACAATGCGTTCGTCCACCAGCCGCCGCGCCTCGTTGCTCAGCTCCTCGATGGCTAGGCGGGATGGATGAGAGCTGTTCTCCTCCAGGTAACGCAGGAGGCCCTCCACCTCCTGTGCTGCTCTCTTTCGTGCCCCCTGCAGCTCCGGTTTGCCCTCCGTGTCCACCTGGTCCACGTCCAGCAGCAGCCGCGTCAGCTCGCGCTCCAGACGCTTGTAGTCACGGTCGTTTTGCAGGCCGCTGAAGGTGCAGACCTGAGGCCCCAGAGACGCCACCTCCTTCTGGACCTCGTACAGCCGCATCATGGCAGGGTGCTGCGCATAATACGCCTGCTGCTGCTGCTCCATTGGATGCTGTTGCTGCTGCTGTGGGCCGCCATGGTCCATCCTCTTCCCACCATCAAAGGGCTTCCCAAACAGGCTGGAAAGGAAAGTCAGAACAATGAGAAACAATTCAGAGCAGGCAGAAACAGAGCCTCAGCAGAGCTAACATAGTTGTCTCCTTGCCAGAATGATAGGATTACTTCAAAAGTTTCTTTTCAGATCCTCACAGCCAACACTGGATGAATAGGACCTCCAACTAATGTCTGGATCGCTGCCAAAGCAGCTGGAGCAAAGACAAACTCTCAGCCAAACATTTATATCTTCAACTCCAGAGGAATTTGCAACAATGTGGTCAGACGCAAATGCTATTAGCCCTTTTCTCACATGCTCCGTAATATGTAAATAATGAGGCATTTCTGTGTTGGTGTCAGATTTTTGTAAATCTTTTCTCCACATCTTCTGTGAACAAAAGCGTCAGCGGTCCTGGGTAAAGACGTTACAGTTACAAACATACCACCTTTTGATAAAACCACAATGGCTGTTATGTTGCACTGGAGACGGTCGCCCACTGACACTAAAAATATTAAAGAGGAAAAATCAGCCAAGGACAAAGTGTTGTATCTCTAATTTTCAGGCTATTCCTGTCATTCCTAACATGTCAGAAATCCAGCCTGGGGGCTAAAGAGTCATTAAAAAATAATCCATCTTGGCTGTGAGCAATCCTGACGCTCTACTACTGTGCTGTCACTTTCCAACTTGCTGCTGGCCTTATCCATCCGGATCTGTCACATCATTGAGAAAACCAAACAATTTGTTGCAGGTTCAGTTTGTAAAAGGAGGTTTTGCTCCTAAGTGCCTGTAGCATTTTTGTCCGACTGATTTTTGAAGCCTACACTGATATATACTTTAGCAAATATTCATCTTTTTACATTAAAAATATCCCTTAAATTAGTATTTTTAAAGAATTGTCCAAAAACTTAATAGGACAATTTACAGTTTAAAAATGAACATATAAGTGCTCTCTGGATGACTAAAGGTGACACTAGGGGCAATAAATCAATAATCACTATCACAATATAATTTTCCTCAATAACAAATCTTCAATAAATGTTTGATTTAATTTGAATCACAAAATAAATTAGCACTTAATTTTTTCTATTAAGACATTTATTTTGTTGAGTCAAAGGGAATGAAAAATAATCATCAATTCATGATAACCATAATTGTTTTGAATGTTCTACCTCAGAATTGTTAAGTGATCCCCTGTTTGTCATCAAGTGTTTGTTCTGACCATAAAGAAAAACCAAAATTAACCATCTGGTTTCTTCAACTTTCACTCAGGAGCAAAAATCAGCCTTTAAACTTATGAGAAACAATGATTTCACAATTATTAGATATTGAATGATATGAAATTATTCATCGTGATAACATTTTTTGCCATATTGTCAAGCTCTAGGTGACGCTTTTTCTAATTTACCCGTCAAACATTTCTGGCATTTCTACTGCAATTTATTGTTAGTTTTCAGGCACAACGTGCAAATACTGATCTGCAGTAAACTAATGCCGATCAGTCATTCCAGTAACTAACAGAGTTGCAAAGTCAGAAAAGTTAAAGAGTAACAGCTAAAAATAAAATCTTGTTTCTGCTGATGTCGTGATTTTACCCTGCGACGTGCGACTCAGGGTGTTTCACTGTAATAATAACTGAACAGAGATTAAACTTTTTTTTTTACTGTTATGTGTGGTTACAGGTATAATAAACTAGAAGAGGTAAAGTTACTCTTTAACTTTAATACCACTGACAATACATATACTTTATATACTATAAACTGTGCATAGCCTGCTAGATACTGTAAATATGCATTCTCTCTGAATGGTGATTGATATGAGAGTAAAAAATAAAACAGAGGAGTCTTGACCTTGACCTCTTTTGTTGAGTCTCCTCTATTTCTAGTTTAGACACAACTCCAGATAAATCAAATGACAACCCAGCTGAGGACAAGACACGAAGAAAATAATAACATAATATATTCATAAGAAATTCTGTCGCTAACAATCGTGCAAGAAAATGAATGAGGTTAACCTACATTTCGTCTCGACAAGAGGAACACCCACATGACAACCATTCAGAGTATTGCTGTGCGTTTCTATCAGGCTCGCTGGCTGACACGATGGCGATAGCTCTCTAATCCGCATGAAAAGGGATCCTGCCTGCACATCAAGCTTTAAATACTGAGGACAAAAAAACCCCAAATATGAAACCGTTTGTTGCACGTCCACAGTCGTGCAGGAAGATTTGGTCCAGCAGCCTCGCAAAGTGTGTCACAGGTGCCTCGAGCTGTAATACGCATTTGCAATTCACTACTTAGAAAAATACTATCAGCAAAATGACTTTTTTGTCAGATTAATAACATGGTTCTTAAACCGTTCAATTATATTTTGAGCCAATATGCCAAAAAATTGTGCTGATTCCACCTCCACTAATGTGAAGATTTGCTGCTTTTGCCGATCTTATATAATCTTAAACTGACTATGTTTCGGGGTTTGGGCTGTTGGTTGGACAAAACAAGACACCTGAAGACGTCACTGTGGGCTCTGGGAACTTGTGACGTTACTATTTTCTGACTAAACAATGAACCATTTGATCTAGAATATAATCTGCAGAGTACTCAGTAAAGACAGTAATCAGTAGTTGCAGTACTCGTGATATGTCAATAGCTTGGAGGTCAAGACGCTCGGCTCTGGTGTTGTTCCCTCCTCTATATTGATTGTGGTTATTAAGTCACAGTATACAAATCATTCTCTGTAGGTTTCAAGAGGAGGGGTTTGTTAGAGGGACAGTCATTTTGCATCTCTTTGTAGTCGCGTTGTGTCTCTGTCTAGTCATTTTGCATCTCTTTGTAGTCGCGTTGTGTCTCTGTCTAGTCATTTTGCATCTCTTTGTAGTCGCGTTGTGTCTCTGTCTAGTCATTTTGCATCTCTTTATAGTCGCGTTGTGTCTCTGTCTAGTCATTTTGCATCTCTTTGTAGTCGCGTTGTGTCTCTGTCTAGTCATTTTGCATCTCTTTGTAGTCACGTTGTGTCTCTGTCTAGTCATTTTGCATCTCTTTGTAGTTGTGTCTCTGTCTAGTCATTTTGCATCTCTTTGTAGTCGCGTTGTGTCTCTGTCTAGTCATTTTGCATCTCTTTGTAGTTGTGTCTCTGTCTAGTCATTTTGCATCTCTTTGTAGTCGCGTTGTGTCTCTGTCTAGTCATTTTGCATCTCTTTGTAGTTGTGTGTCTGTCTAGTCATTTTGCATCTCTTTGTAGTTGTGTCTCTGTCTAGTCATTTTGCATCTCTTTGTAGTTGTGTGTCTGTCTAGTGATTTTGCATCTCTGTGTAGTCACTTTGCATCTTTATGTAGTCATTTTGCATCTCTTTGTAGTTGTGTCTCTGTCTAGTCATTATGCATCTCTTTGTAGCTGTGTTGTATCTCTGTGTAGTCACTTTGCATCTTTATGTAGTCATTTTGCATCTCTTTGTATATGTTTTGCGCCTCTTTGTAGTTCCGTTGCGTCTGTAATCGTGTTGCATCTCTTTGTAGTTGTGCTCTGCCCCTTTCGTTGTAATTTTTGCTTCTGCAAAAACGCATGTTTTAGCAACATTTTTACAGGTGAAATACAACTCTTGTGCTACTGTTGGTTCAAAAACTGCATCTGATCTTCAGTATTTATTTCACACTGGAGATGAAGAGAGCTGTCTGACTTCTGTCCGAAGCGTCCTGCCACAGCAGATTGACACAGACACTCTATATTACACAAAATACTACAGCACACAGTATATAAAATATTATGGAAAACCATCACAAGAAGCCTCAGATGCAGGATCTATTTTCTTAAAGCAGAGCTATTCTGATTTAAATTGCTTTACTAATTTGTGGCGGCAATGCAGTAGATAAACACAAGCCTCTGGTGTGAGAGACCTGGGTTCAATTCCCACTATGTCACCAATGGATCCCTGAGCTAAACACTTAACCCCTAGTTGCTCCGGAGGCGTGCGACCTCTGACATTTATAGCAATTCTAAGTTGCTTTTGATAAAAGCATCAGCTAAATGGCAATTTTTTTATGTTATTTGAATAAAATTGTTATTTTAGCATCAGTAGGATGTGACTTAAGCTCTGTGAATTAATGTTAACAGTTATTTGAAACAGAAGCTCTGGTCTAGGGGCCCCCGTGACCTCTCGGGCCCCTGGGCTTGTGCCTGTTAAGTAATTCATCCGTGATCTCATTGCAAATCTCCAGTCTACCGAAATCAAGAACAACCTCCAGCATTAAAACAAATTCTACTTTGGATTTTAAATATCAGAGCTAAAAGAAAAAAAAGGAAAGAGCGAGTAACGAAACTGTTACAGAGGAAATTCTTTCCATCCTCCCACAAAACGCCCAGCCTACATCAAAGTGAACTTTCTATATCTACAGGGTGAACAGTAACACACAGGATTAAGATAAGGAAGGGATTTTAGTTTTTGCAACAGAACATGGCTCAGAGGAGAGGTTGCATCATGAGACGGGCTGTCAGGATCAGTCAAGGTGCCTGAAAGCATGATGTGATGATTGCATATGAATACCGAAGCCCATAATATGATGTTTTGTTATTTACAGCATCAATAACACTTATTAGAAGACACAGGATTATGTATCAGCATTCCCTAAAGTACTTTTATGTAAGAGGGCGACGGGGCTGGGCATTTCCAGAATAGGGGATGAATGCACGCTGAGCCAGAGCTTACAAAATGAGTAATTATTAGGATAATCTCAACAAAATCCCAGCCTGGCAAACACCTCATCCCTTAAAACTGATCCAAGAGATAAGAAAAAAAAGGGGGGGCTGGCTCCAGGCTGAGGTGATGTAAAGCTAACAATAGGTTTGCTAGTAGGGTTCAGTCTTCCCTCTCATGAGTCACACAGCATGAAGGATACCTGAGCTGGGGGTACCGTGCAACCAGCTCCCCTCTGCTTAAATCTTCCCCCCCAAACCCCGTTCAAGCAGCTACCCCAGGCTGCCTGCACCGGTCCTGCACGGCTTTGCGCATTATGCCACCATAGAAAATCCTGTTTGGCCAGCAGGTTGCGAAGGTATCTGCCTCTGTGAGGCCATGCACCGCAAGCAGCATAAACACCACACCTCCCAGATCTTCTCAAAAACACCTCGAAGCATCTCCAGGAGCCGTCAACTGTATCCTCACGCACACTATGCAAACACACACACACGCACGCACGCACCAGCAGTGTCAAGCGGCATCGTAAATGTCTCACCTTTTCAAAACTCCGAACACATTCGCGCACATTTTCACGGATGTCTGTTTCCATCAGCCAAAGCAGGCGGGTCGTGGAGCAAAGTAGCATCCAAAAGGAGAATCCCCAAAATCAGATTTCGGTTGGGGGGTCGACGATGATCCGGTCCGGTCAGCTTCAGCTGCCTAACGACTGACTGACTGACTGCGGTCGGGCTTGTGTCGCCCCTCCCACACACCGATCCGAGGGGCTCCCTCCACTGATTCTCCTTTTTAAAACAACTTCGTTTACAAAAAGATATGTTACTGGAGCTCACAGGCTCTTTAAATACCCACTTTGGATCCAAGAAAGCCAAACCCGAGCCCTGTTTTCCCACGTTCACCTCTCTGTGAATGCCATTGTCTGTGTCTGTGCGTTAAGCTAGCTGCCGATGATCACCTGACTCTGCCCCACCTTAGCCGAATAACTTCTGCTTTTTTTCGGTCTTAACACATCAAGACAACTTCGTCACTTTAATAGTTTCGCCCTTACCTGCATAGCCAGCGTACAGCCATCTGAACTGTTGGGGAAAAGTGCGTACCTCCTCTGATTAAAGCTAAACATTAGCCCACCTAGCTACCTTCTAGCAGTTACTTTCCGGCGCATGAACTAACGCGGAGTTTCTCCTTTCGCTCGTTCGGGCGAAAATAAAACTGTTTTATCGCCGTTTGCTTTATTCGACAAATAAGTTATGTGAATCGATGTTTAGTTAATGTATAATTATGTCATATCGATGTAAAAGAAAATACATGAAAGTGTTATTTTGCCGGTGGTCGACTTAAATATTTTTTATGTGTAAGTTTTGGTCGTCCAACATTAAATACGCTCCATTTGTTGTACCAGGCCGTACCGTTTGGTACGTGGCGGCAAGGGCGGGGACAGTAAATGCGGTGTAGTTATAATATCGAGGTATTTGTAGCCTACTTAGTATTTTATTTAGTTCTGCTACTTTATACGTCTTATGTCTTACTTTAAAATTAACTAACTATATTTTGTTTTATTATATTAATGATATATTATACTATAACGTTTTATATTCTATGCTATATTTCTGTATTATACTAAATAATATGTTTTTGACTACTCTATGGTTATACTATGTAAGGCTGTGCTATATTACTATATATATGTTTCTATGTTTTATGTAGACTATATTAGATTTATATAGATAAAACTTAATCATATATTATTCTTGTGTACGCTGTTAGTAGATGGTATTATTATAATGGTCATAATAATAATAATTATATACTCTAATATACTAAAGTATATTTTGATACTAATACTGACACATCCTCTACTTTTACTTTCCATCAGATATTTAAGGCAGGACTTTTACTTGTAACAGGTTATTCATATGTGGTATTACTAAACTCTATTTGAATATTGTAGTATTTTTTACATTACATTTCTTCCCCGACTGAGGAATAGTGTTTCAGTGTAAACCCCGCCCGGCTGTCTCAAATCGGGGCTTTGTCGGTGACGTTTTGGAGCTCACCCTGTCCTTGCTGAGTCATGTGACCAAACGGCTGGTTTTACACACCGAAGGACACCGACATGAACTCCTATGAAGTTCTGTGTGGGCTAACATGAACAGCAGGCTCCTCTGTACAGTAACGGGAACAGATTGTCATTAAAACAGAAGTTTAAAATCTCAGTTAATTAAAATGGTGTCCAAATCAACAGCAGCAGCAGCAGCGGGGTGTTTAACATGGAGGCTGTTCGGTCCGTTTACCCTCCACGCTCCTCTGCGCCCTCACAGCTTAATATCAGCAGTGAACAGACGGCAGTGCAGCTCCGAACAGGCAACCCAGCAGGACGAACCACCAAAGGTTCGTACAGTAAAATAAAATCCCGTGTAACACATAATATTTGACTTACAGGCAGTGTTTGGTTAATCCCCATTAACGGCGGTGACAGCTCGTTTACTCTGTTTGGACCTGCACAGGTGTGTGTGTGTGTGTGTGTGTGTGTGTGAGAGTGTGTGTGTGTGTGTGTGTGTGTGTGTGTGTGTGTGTGTGTGTGTGTGTGTGTGCGCGCCTGCGTGCCAGGAGACCGTTGCTGGTGTGACTGCCTACTACGACGTGTAACGACAAGTGGAAGACGTTTGCAAATGTAGTTTAGTAATACCAGTGGTGTTAAAGTACAAATACCAGTGGTGTAAAAGTACTAACACCAGTGGTGTAAAAGTACTAATACCAGTGGTGTAAAAGTACTAATACCAGTGGTGTAAAAGTACTAATACCAGTGGTGTAAAAGTACTAATACAAGTGGTGTAAAAGTACTAATACAAGTGGTGTAAAAGTACTAATGTCAGTGGTGTAAAAGTACTAATGTCAGTGGTGTAAAAGTACTAATGTCAGTGGTGTAAAAGTACTAACACCAGTGGTGTAAAAGTACTAACGTCAGTGGTGTAAAAGTACTAATACCAGTGGTGTAAAAGTACTAACACCAGTGGTGTAAAAGTACTAACGTCAGTGGTGTAAAAGTACTAATACCAGTGGTGTAAAAGTACTAACACCAGTGGTGTAAAAGTACTAACGTCAGTGGTGTAAAAGTACTTATACAAGTGGTGTAAAAGTACTAACACCAGTGGTGTAAAAGTACTTATACAAGTGGTGTAAAAGTACTAACACCAGTGGTGTAAAAGTACTAATACAAGTGGTTTAAAAGTACTTATACAAGTGGTGTAAAAGTACTTATACAAGTGGTGTAAAAGTACTAACACCAGTGGTGTAAAAGTACTAATACAAGTGGTTTAAAAGTACTAACACCAGTGGTGTAAAAGTACTTATACAAGTGGTTTAAAAGTACTTATACAAGTGGTGTAAAAGTACTTATACAAGTGGTGTAAAAGTACTTATACAAGTGGTTTAAAAGTACTTATACAAGTGGTTTAAAAGTACTTATACAAGTGGTTTAAAAGTACTTATACAAGTGGTGTAAAAGTACTAACGTCAGTGGTGTAAAAGTACTTATACAAGTGGTTTAAAAGTACTAACACCAGTGGTGTAAAAGTACTTATACAAGTGGTGTTAAAGTACTTATACAAGTGGTGTTAAAGTACTAACACCAGTAGTGTAAAAGTACTTATACAAGTGGTGTAAAAGTAAATTAAGTGAATGTACTTAGTTACACCGTGAAGGAATTATTCAGATGTATAAATTATGCATTCAGAACGACATTAACTATAAAAGTAAAGTATCATCAGGAAAATCTAATTCTAATTAAAAATCAAAGTAATCAATGCAGAAAGAAAAATGTTCGCTGTGACTGTTACACTATTATTACTCGGGACTTTTCTGTTGTAGTTGGAAGAACTACAACAAAAGCACTGTGTTTTAATGAGTTTAAGTATTTAACTTAATAACAAAACCTCATATTTTAAAAGGTCTATACGTAGCTTTTTTTATGTTTTGCCTGTACAACTCTTTGTTTGTAAAGTAACTAGTAACTAAAGTTCGCAGATAAATGTAGTGGCGTAAGAAGTAAAAATATTTCCCTCTGAGATGTAGCGTAGTAGAAGAATAAAGTGGCATGGAAAAAAAAGACTTAAGTAAAGTACAAGTAATGTACTTAGTTACATTCAACAACTGTATTTCATTCGAGGATCGGCATGTTGAGCGTGTAATAAAAAACTATATTTACAAGGTACAAGGTTGTTTATTGTCATTATACAGCACAAGGCTGCATAACGAAACAAGATTTGTAGTTTTTTCATGCTACACACACAACATATAATTAAGTGTATATTAAAATATGGTAACGTAAAATAAAACAATATATACATATAAACACGTATACAAAACATTACTAGTTAGGTATTTTATTCCACAAACATTACCTAAATTGTTTGCTTTAATGATTATATATACAGCCGACTGTGTAATCTACAGCGACTCTGACTTCACATCTACCTGTTTTCTGGTCTCTGAGTCCTGGAACCTGTTCTGTGCCTCGCCGCTCGTCTCACCGTGCAGTCTGGTTAGAAATGATAAGCAGGTTCCTGCATGTCAGCTGCTTATTCAAACCACGTGAGCTCCATCTGAGTCTGCCTGTGTGTGCAAACGTCTTCTGTTTATTCAAGTTAAACTCTCCCTTACTGACTCTTGCGGAGTGTCAGTCCTAATCCTAAACCCAAACCGGAACATGTTTAGTAAAGGAAACAGTCTGAGAATGAAGAAGTCAGTATTTAAGGAAGGTGTTAATGTAGGTATCTGAAATAGAGCAGTGTGGTTCAGCTCATACTCCTGTTGTGGCGGCCTGAAACGGATAAAATGCAGTAAAAGGATATCAGATAATTCAAAACTATAACTTACTACAGCAAATAATTAGAATGGAGTATAAAAAACTTTTCCTTTTAACCTCCGATCATTTGTTTAAAAAAAAAAAGCAGAAGTAGTAGTAGAAGAAAAGTTTTCCTTTTTTTGATTTTAGCTGTGATATTATTTTTGCCACACATGAATGAAAGTGGAGTTGCATTGTGGGTAACGTAGGCACCAGGTTTTGACACAGGGGAACAATACGTAGAATAAAAAAACACATTATCTTTGTTTGTGCTGCATCGATTGTGCTGTCCATCGTGAGTCTGACAACATTATAGGAGGGCAATGCTAGATCATTGTAGTACTATATTAAGCTGCAGGGTGTTGAGCTCTCAGGGCCACCGTAGAAAAATGATAATCATGTTGGAATTTCAGAGCTGGGAGTCTGAAATTGATCCCCCAAACTGCAGACAATAACATGTCATTTTATCAGGATAAATTTACAGATGAACTTTCAGTTGCTCTCAGAAATGTTCAATACTATTTTACCTTCATTCTTAAAAGTAACAGTACAATAAAATATTTCTTATTTCTCTTATATTTATTCAGAGATCCACATTCAGGCCAGTAGCCACCTCCACGCACGACTGGATCGGCCCACCGAACCCTCTTTCCAACCTGCGGCCAATCGTTTACCACGTCCCCGCGAACGAAACAGAGCTGGAGAAACGGCTGCGACACCTGAGGCAGGAGACCGAGGACTGGAACCACGACTTCTGGGCCAAGCAGAACATCACCTTCAGCAAGGTTGAAAGGTTTTTTTTACAGCACAAAAGAAAAAGTCCATATAAATGTTGTACGCTCCACAACCGTACAAGTAGTTTTGGTACCCAGTTCTGTTTCTCATGCAGGTTGTATTTGCGAAACATGTTTATATTTTGGCAATGTGATGAAATATAGTATATAAAAGTCTTTATCATGTACATAATAGCCAGTATAATACCTGTCACGGTAAGCAGAGTGCTAGCCAGGATTAAAAACTGAAATGTAAAGTGTAAATCAAGTACAGCTGCAACTAATGGTTATTTTCTGTATTAATGAATTTCTCAAGTATTTTAGATGAATCAGTCAGTCTATAAAATGCAGGAAACTGTGAAAAAACGCCCCTTGGAATTTCCCAGAACCTGAGATAATGTCTTTAAATCAATCTTGTTGTCTGACCAACTGTCCAAAATATGAAATATCCCAAAAATATTTATACTTTACAATGTTAATAAAAAACGGGAAAGAAAGAAAAGCAACAAATTCTCACATTTTGAGAAGCTGGAATCAGTGGGTGTGTGGCCTTTTTCGCTTGATAAATGCTGTAAACGATCAATTGTTTATCAAATTGTGGTTGATTATTATTCCATTGATTGATTGATTGGTTAATTGACTAACTGTGTGAGCAGCTATATGAAGAAGTTTACTGGGCACATGTTTAGGCAGCAGGACAGCACAGTCCTGCTGATGTGCCTCCAGAGCTGCTGCCCTGCAGCTGACCTCTGACCTCCCAGCAGAGCTTCCAAATGTCGCTTATTACCACATTATCGTTGTCATCATTAATAATCTAAGTCTTAAAGGTCACAGGATGTTCCTGTCCTCTGCATGCTGAGCTCTTACAGGACAGTTCTTATTTTCACCAGCAGACAGCAGCATTGCACAACAAAGCTTTGCTGTCTGGGTTCTGGGCCCACCCATTGTCTAAAATATATTTGCTTTATATCTTAATTCCCTTTTATTTAAATTAATTTTGTTCAAAACTTAATGAGGAATAAAATACATTGAATCTGATAATATTTAACACTAAAGATATTTTAAAACAGGTTTTTATTGTAGAAATATTGCATGATCCAGTGCTTTTTACAACATAATAACATCAGATTAAGTGGCTGTCTATAGCTTTTGATGCTGATAAAGTCGATTCTCTGTAAATAGAGAGATGTTTAAAGTTACTAAATTTGAGAGTTACATTAATAGAGGCTCTCAGGATAAGTTCAGTACTATAAGGCCACCCTTCTTAGCATCTGTGTCCTGAAGACTGAGATAAAGGACATTAAGAACAGGAATATTAAATTGTCCTAAATGTAAATCTTATCATATTGGTTTATGATATTGGTAATTGTGTTGACTGTTGGCGTTTTGTTTGTGTATGTTCTAAAAGCATTAATTGAATATATACATTTTTTGTTCAATGCTCTCTGCAGGAAAAAGATACTTTCATCATTTCAGAACTGAACGCTAAAGGCTTGAGTCTGCGTGATGAGCAAGGTGAGGACGTATTTATATTTCGGCATATACTAAAGTGTTATTCACAGGTTAAGACTCTTGTGCACACATAACCCTCTCCTGTCTACAGGCTTTATTAAGAAAAGTAGATTAAATACTTGAGTAGGATTAAAAACTCCTGCGAGCAATGCTTTTGCATAGATTGTAAATGTATTCCCAATCATGGAGACGGTTTTGTCTGTCAGAACATGTTAGAATTGAAGCCTTACAGACTTAAAAATGACAAAACCACTGTGAATTGAAGAGATTTTATGAAAAGCTGGTTATTTAAAAAGGAAATATATCTTAATGAGAATATAATGTTGTCCGCTGCGTCTTCTCTCGGCCCCTCAGGACGACGGCGGTCCCTGAACAGTGAAGAAATGGCCGTGTTTTACAAAAGCTTCCTGGACAGAAACAGAATACGACATGCAAATTATAACAAGTGAGTTGTTTTGCAGCCGGGTATCTCCCATGATGCCGCCGGGTGGGTGGGTACATCTCCCTCCACGGGAGCTGTGGGCTTTATCCGACACTGTTATATACTGTACCTAGAGAACTACAAACATCGCAGGCTTTGAAGAGCTTTCTGTGAATTAGCATTGCAAAGTGGCTGACTTGTGTTTAGTTTAGTGAATCCTCTATAAAGAAAGAGACGCCCACACGTGTAACCTCTGCAATTGCTTTTATTTATTTTATTTAAACTGATTGCACTACATTGTCCATGTGATTCCTGTTATTGTCTCAGGTTAGAGTAAATAAAAGAAATAACAGCATTTCCCCGTCTCTTCCCCGCAGGTATTACTGCCTTCTTGGCTCAGTCTGTTTAAAGTCTTTGAGCTTCCAGCACAACAAACATTTATTGCATTGTGCTGTGCAGTGAAATATCTATCTACGTTTAATCCTGCTCTTTACAGTGTTGTTCATGTTCAAGGTTAGCAGCCACTGTAGCATCATTCATTTTGTGTCCAATATTTAAATGCTATAAAATACATCGTATTTGTGGGAAAAGGATCAACACCCAATACAAAACATCCTGTAAGAATTGTATGTATGTACAAAGCATACCGTAATAGTGCCCAACATCATTTATTTATAGCACCTTTCCATCAGACCCACAAAGTGCTTTAAGATAAAAGGTAAAGGTAAGACAAACAATCACAATGTTAAAGTAATAAATAAATAGGAAATAGCTGTAAAACTAAGCGATGGCGAGTGTCCACAGATCCGAGTCCAAAAGGAGAGAGTTTAATTGCGACACATCAGAGGCAAAGTCTCTTTTCGTTTTGAGTCTAGAGCAAGAAGCAACTAGCAAACCCTGATCAGAGGACCTCACAAACCTTCTGGTTATCTAGATCTCTAATAAAGAACAGGTGCCCGACCATGCAGAGCTTAAACGTGATCACAAGAACTGCGATCAGATTCTGAATTTGATGTGGAGCCAGCGTAAAGAGATCACGATCAAAGTCAACTCAGACCTTTTAAAGGATGTTTAAAAGCTTTACAGCAGCATTCTGGCCCCCTTATGTAAACGATCCAGGGATTTCTTGCTAAGACATGTGAAAAGGGAGTTACAGTAGTGGATGAAACAAAATACAACAGGCCCAGGTTTTCCTCAGCTGAAAATAAACAGGAGCAACAAATGTTCAATAAATGTTTGAATCACGAACAGGTTAGCATTTATTTTTTCTAGAGAGAAAAGGATATTTATTTGTTGAGGGAAAAGAATTTTAAAAAGTTTTTATTTAATTTTATTCATGCATATTTGTTGAAAAAGATTTTATCATAATTGTTTTAAATGTCCTACATCAGATTTGTAAAGTGATCCACTGTTTGGCATCAAGTGATTGTTCTGGCCCTAAAGAAGCTGGCCAGGAAATAGTCTGGCGCCTAACCCCCCCCCGTCAAACTACAAATTGTCATTTTTATGCTTTTTTTTTTATTTATTGATAAAAAAGCTACTCTTTAGTGTACAGACAATCAAGCGAGTATCAATAATCTCATTTAATTTTCAGGAAATAAGCGAATAAGTGTATTTCCCAAAATGTGGAACAATTAAATGTTATCCGCTTTTCTAAATTATTGTTCAAAAAACCAAATATAGATAGGTCTAAACAATTTTTATGAGTTACGCAGTGATTATAGACAGACACATCTTTCAGATACATATCACAGATCTTTTCTGTGTAAGGAAACATCATTGTTTCCATGGTTACAGTGAATAAACAACGCTGCACAGACACATTTAACTTTTTCAGCTCATTCCTGTTCCCATTTATAAAAGAGACTAAAACATATAGGGGGAACAATAATACAATATTTATTAAATATGTTAAGGGAAAATATGTGTAAAGTTTACTCTTTGGGCAACAGATGTTTCACAGCAGGAGTGTGGACTGAACGGCCATTGAACTGATTTGTATGAGCTACAGCTACAATCGTCTGGCAAATGTTTGGCAACATAACGGCACACGTAGTCAGAATGTAACATACGTGTTAACAGTTGGATTTTAAAACCATTTATTTACATAATCAACATCTAGATATTTGTACTCAAATAGTTGATCTCAAATATGGTCTGAAGTCTGGAAAGTTTGAGGCTTGAAAAGTCTCGAATCGGTTGAGGTTGTAAAGTCATACTGTATCAGTGGTTTTAACTTGATGACACTTCCTCTAATTCTCTTTTCCCCTCTCCGTGTCATATCCAGTGAATGGTACCGACGTAACTTCACCATCACCTTGCTCATGGCCCGAGTCTCCCTAAAGAACATGTGGAGGACTGTTACTAATCGACACAGCGGCAAGAAAAACAGCACTCCTACCACCTGATGATGAGAAATAAAATATTCACCCGCCCTCCCAAGTGTTTGGATTTGTTTTTAGTGCATCGTTGTGTTTGGATCTAACCCCACTCTATGTACTGACATATATTCACCGCTCACTTGGAGACAGACAAAAAGATGAGCTGTTGATTTGATTTATTTCTTATAATTGCACTGAAAAACAGTCGGAAATCTTCCCATCAGCAGGGTGTTCACTAGAAACTCTTTACTATAAAACCCACAATGGCTCAGACAGAGATTTCCTAATTGTTCTTAGACGAATTATTTCAACTTGTCTACTTGATGGACAGGATTACAAATTAATTTGAGATTTACTGGTACGATACAACTATAACAACTCCAAATCTTTGCAAGGGTGTATTTTCAACTTTGCTCAAGATAATGTCTTATGGCTCTATTGAGTTCCTGTCTGTGGAGGCAGAATGAATGTGGAGAAATTTACATTTCTGTCTGTTTTGTGTCAGATTTCTCTGTGTTCGTGCTGCTCAGTCACTTATACAATGCACCAGAGAAAAGACACCGAGAAACTTTCACCATTGATTGGTAAAATGTCTGTCGGTTAATTCATATCACACAAACCACAAAACTTCAAAAAGTTTCTCTTCTGAAAAATGTGGGGTCATTGACATACGATAAATAAATGTACAGGAATGCCAGATTTTGTAAAACTACAGAAATTAATACTGAAATGTTGGATAATAACCACAGTGGTGGAAAATAATTAAGTACATTTACTTAAGTACTGTATTTAGCCACAACTTTGCTGTACTTTACTTAAGTATTTTCATTTTCTTTACTTATCTGACAGCTGTAAGTAACTATTATCTAATTTGTACATACAAATATTATGTTTTGCTATAAATTACCCAACAGTTTATACATCTTAGTACATCTAAAACGAATAATTGATTGACAAAATTAATGGGTAACTGTTTTGACAATAATAAAACATTTAATGGTTTTGGCTTCACAAATGTTTCTGCTTTTCCTTTGAATTATTTTAATACTTTGAAGGTGTGACTTTGGCCTCTGGGTAATTGCATTTCTCAGAATGTTTACTAAACCAAAAAATCAATCGATTAACTGAGAAATTAATCATTAGTTGCAGTGGAATACAAAATAGTTCAACATGAGCGCCACCTCAACTAACTACAACTGCTTTTACATGAATACATGAGTAATAATAATATAATGATATAATAGTATAACAGTCACAGGGGACATTTTTCATTCTGCATTTAGTACTTTTACTTTTAATACTTTAAGTACATTGATTAAACTTCCATACTTTTACTTAAGTCACATTTTCAATCCAGTAGCCCACTTTTTTTTTTTTACAGTAAGGTGCCATGATTCAAGTTTAATAGGAGTGAAAACTTGTTTGTTCCCTGTGCTGTAACTCTGCTAAATCGTCTCGGGTAACCTCACATTTTAGAGAAAGTTAAATGTTTTTAGTGTACTGTATGTACTGGTCACATTTGTTGTTGTTTGTTTTTTTGTACTTGTGTTGTTAATCTGATCCTTGTATGTTTTATTGTGTTCCCTGACTGCAAGTCAAGTTTCCACTTGGCATAATAATAAATGAACTGAACTAAACTTAAATCAAACACTGCTTTGAATTGAAAAGTACATTTTTCTGATTATACTTTCATTTTCAATGCAGTACTTTTACTTGTCACATAGTATTTTTGACAGTGAAGTAGTCGCACTTTTACTTAAGTAAAGGATTTGAATACTTGTACTTAAAGTCCACCACTGCTTTTAATTCTTTAAGTACATTTTTCTGATTATACCTCCATACTTTTCAATGAATGACATTTACTTGTAACAGAGCGTATTTAAATGTGGTATAAGTACTTGAAAACTTCCTCCATCGGTGAGAATAAGAATAAATCTGGAGGCTCGACTTGTGCCCGCAGCTTCCCCTTTAATCCGGGCAGGGATGACATCATTACCGGGAAGAGCAGGGGGGCCCCGGGTAACGCCATTTTCACGCAGCGCTCAGCCAGTCAGTCATCCAGGGAGCTGTCATCTTCATCGGCTACTAGTCAACTTTGCATTCATCCCCATGAAGCCGCGATCAAGCTAGTTTCGCGGACCTGTTCCTGCCATGGCACCGAAGGGGAACAGGCTCTTCTCGTGTGGCTCCGACTAAAGTCAGTGTTGTGACAGTTAGCTTCGGTGGCTAGCTATGTAGCTAGCTGGTCATCAGTAAACGGCGGTTGATGCAGTTGAAGTCCAGCGTCAGTCGGCGAAACATACCGGGGACAGTTTGGAAAATAGTGTTTTATGATTAAATATTTTTACATTTATCGGCAAACGCTGTCCATCAAAGAAAAAAATCCCTCCGTTTAAAAAAAAGCTGTGATTTAAAAGGGAAAGCCGTGAAGAAAACGAGCGTTACAGTCAAGCTACATTGGCAACGGATGTCCAAGAGAACGGTAAGAATGGCTCCGTGTATTTCTTGGAATTCATCAACAACTAATTAACTGACCTCTTTCAGGAAAATTTAATCTGTGTCATTTTTGTCAAACCGACACTCATTTGAATTATTAACGTTGTATAATGTTTGGGCGCCCGTGTTTTTAATGAGATGCCTCCTTGATGTTTATGTTAATTGCAGGAATGGGTCGCCATAAGCTGCACATTAACTGTCACTGAGAGGAGAGAGGTGCTAGCTCAGAGTTAGCTGACACCGTGGTTAGTTAGTCTGTGTGACACGAACAGTATTGGCTAACTGGTTCTTCAGGTTAATCCATAGCTAGGACGAAGCAGCAGGAGCGTAAGAAAGACACCAGTAGGAAGATGCACTTGTTGGCCGCAGCGGCACCCTTAAAGCCTTGATGTTGGAATATGTCATGTGATGGTTAGCTGTGCTGGATGTCCTTTCATTGATATTCAGAGCAGGGCTGAGGGCTGTGAAGGCTGTCTGTGTTGAGGAGACCGCTTCAGAGGGACAGTGGATCTCAGTGTGGGGGGGACTCACAGCTGGGATCTGAAAACAGGACAGACTGGGAGGGGTCTATGAATATTTGAGCTTCAGGCACGCTTGATATCTTGAGCCAACACGGTATGACAGAAATCTCAGGAATACACCCAAGTATTTTTGGAGAGTTTTGTCTGCCTTGCCCTGAAGGAGTGCACATGACAACCTGCAGGGCTCCTCCCCCAGGCTAACACCCCTCTGCTCTCCAGGGACTGCTTGTTGTTGGCTCAGAGATCCCAGAGCTTTTGTGTGTTGACCTTTTTTTATAGAGTGCTTGCTGCTCCTGGGAAATGAGAATCATGTGTTGTCGCAGCAGAATTTGTTGTAGTGCTGCAGGTCGGCTTGAGAAGCATGCGGTGCTTTTCTGCAGGGAAAACATGCAAACCTGCACATCACTAAAACATTATCCCTGCTAAAACCTGACAGAGAGGAGGTGCAGTACACTTTTATTGTACTGTTCTATACTTGTACTTTCAAAGAGGTGATAATGAATTACATTTAATTGAAATTGAATATTTGAAGACGTAATCGTGGGTTTTAGCAAAGTGTGAATGGAATTTTTTTACTTTCATCTGATATTTTATAGACCCAAAGAGTAATTGGTTAATTAAAATATAAGCACAATCCAGTTTGTTGCAGTACCAGTGCTTTTAAATGGCAGTGTTTTATACAAAGAGGTGTTTCTAATAGTTACTCCACTCTACTTATATTACAGAGGGCAGACTAAACATTAGAAACACCTCTCAATATAACCACACCTTTGTAAACAGGTTCAACAAAAGTTGATCTTTTTAACAAAGAGAG